CGCAAAACATGATACAACGGGCAAAACTCCTGCTGAGTTATTTCTAGGCAGAAAGATTATAAAACCGTTAGATAAATTATTTTATGTGCAACAAAGAGCCCCAGAATTTAAAATGGGTGATATAGAAAAACTAATTAAAAGAAAAAAAGAAGCAAAAAAGAATACTGAAGTAGCACAAAGAAAACAGAAGTTATTATTACGATTGAAACGACGGGGAGTAACTTATAAAGTAGGGGATGAAGTTTTAAAAATTAAGCATTCACTTTCTTCAGCACCAGAAGATAAAACTGCCAAATTTTTTCCACGATTTGAAGGACCATATGTTATAGAAAAAATAACTCACGCTGTTGTAGTGTTAAAGGCCAGAAATGGTGAATGGTGAAACCTGTTCCGCAAAACATTGATCAAATTAAACCCTACTATCGATCGTAATAAAATGCAAATCTTTTCAGATCTTTTGCAGGATCCGGCACGGCAGACACCGCAGGTACAAGTTCCAGAGTGGGGAAAACGACAAGTACAAGGGCAAGCCAATGAGAGACAGAAGCAAGTGAAAAGAAAATTGCCCCGCGGAAAAATTGAAGGTAAAAAGAAAAAGAAGCCGTTCCACCGTCCAGAAAAACAGAGTTCACGAACACCCCCAGAATGAAGAAGGGAGAAGGACGACGTATGTGAAAAGGACCAGGAGAAAGGACGGCAACTATAACCCGGCTTTAAAACGGAAGATCGACTCATCCGACAGACAGAACTCTCCGCAGCAAAAGTCGCCGAACTGCGGAAGGGCCATCAGCGGCGGAGGAAAAAGTACAAGAAAAATTTGAACGGCCAACAACGAGGTCCAAGCAGGATCACGACAGAAGTTTCCCGGTTCCGCCAAGACCAGCTGCCTTCAAACGGCCAAGACCACAAGCAGAGGGCAAAAGGAAGGTGTTCAAGGGTGGCCGTACTGGTGAAAAAAAACGGAAGCTTCCAGAGGAGGAGAAGCACTGAAGGGCGAGCCCCCGTACAAGAAGGAGGATAAACCAAGCTACGGTCTGCAGTACCTTTAAAGACTGGGCCCAGAAAAAGGATGTCCGAATATTACAAAGATAAGTAAAATTTTATGTTACTTTGCAAACTTAAGTTAATCTTTCATTCTTACTGCAAGTGGCAGATTTCAAGAAGTTTTACCTCATGCGAGGTCTACCTTTATCGCCAAAAGGGCGAGAAATGAGTTGTGACCGATTTCTGGTATTATGTTTTTCAATTACTCGCGCGTAAAACTAAAGTTGATGTATAATAGCGTTGTGTAAAGACTTAAATATTGTAAAAAGTTATTGTATAAATTTTATTTAAAACATTCTAGCAAGAAAGAAGTTTTAGTCTGAAAGACTTTTTGAAATGTAGTATTATTTCAATGTAGAAAGAATTGGCACTTGCTTTGAAAAGAATAGAAGTTAACAATGTACTACTAATGTATGTTTTCAAATGTGTAAAATTAACGGCATGTTGATATGTTCTTATATACATGTGAACTGTTATTTTAAATGTTTAAGAAATACCGTGATATGGTAAAAGTGAAAGTAATGTTAAAAATTTGTTATTCGTGTGACTGTAAAGATTAAATCATGGCGAATATGTGTTAAAGGTGAATGAATGATGTAGTTAGGCTCTCTGACGCTACACTTTAGAGTTAGCCACTTTTAGAATAGTACCTCAGGGTTTAGAGTTGAGTTGAGAGTTGAAAGTAGGGTGTGTGTTAAGAGGTCTCGTTATGTTGAATTTTAACACGTTAGTGTTTTGATTGTAGGAGGAAGGAAGTGTGGCACACGTAGACAGAAACACATTCGTGTTTGGTGTTCTTTTACAACACATGTCAGAGAGCACGGGGAGAGATAATTAAAAATAGTCATGAATGAAATAAGAATGTTAAGAGAAGTATATTCTATATGTTATTTGCCAATGTCATTCTGTAACATTTCATTAAACTAGTTTTCCTTCCAGATCTCTGGAAGGAACCAGAATTGAATAAAGCTCCTGTTTAGATGCAGTACAGATGAAAAAAAAAAGATTGTTGTATAGATCCTGGGAGCTGCTATTGTAACAAAATTTCTTTCTTTTAAATTTTCTAGTTTCTAACGAAGTTATGATTGTAAAAGGTTGGCCTCGCGTTAGATTTTAGAGCTAAAAGTTTTCAACAAGGTCGTTTTAGACCTCAGTTTCAAACTAATTAACTCTGGCGGGAAGTATGTAAGGATCTTAAGTTTTACTAACGTTTATTTTATTTTAAATCTTTACTATCACTTCTTATTTTCTACTTCCGGCCAGAATTATAAGCGTTAAGGATTTTATGCAAAGTTTGTCTGGCGAACGCCAAGTATTTAAGTGTGGCCTTTTTGCCAAGCAGAGAGAGGAAGCGAGGGAGGAAGCAGTGAGTTCGAAGCAGGCCGCTTACCTTAGAAGTTACGCAGTTGCTATTTGCCTTCCAGGCCAGAGGTTTTAATCCTCTTGATAAATTAAACGTATTGTAGTGTTCACAGTCTCTGTGCTACATACGCTTCCTGTTATTATAAGGCCAATCTTCCACGTGTGTTATTCTAAAGTTAGTTAAATTAGAGTTTAGTTTTATTTTTTATACCTTTTACGTTAGACCCCGAGTGGAGGGTCATTGTATTCCGAAGTACGGAAGTCATTGTATATAAAGAAAAATAAAGGAAAAAATAAAGTTTTGTATACCCTTCGTCTGTATCCTGTCTACTTACTACAATTAGTTAACATAGCTTTAGTAAGCTCTCTGTTCCTAGTCAGGTCATTGTATGTTTCCGAAGAAGGTTAGAAGAAACATTGAACCTGATAACTTGACCCTCCGTTCGTTCGTTATAAAGAAAAAAATCATGTGGTTCGCTTTAGCCTATCTTCGATTTATCCTTTGAGACCCTTTTTAGGAGCATTTTCTTTTTCTTTTGTTAGCTTCGCTGTGTACAATACTGGTTGCGTTAGGAATTTTAACAAGGTTTTAAAAAAAGGAATGTGTTGAAACTCAGAAAGGCCAAAAAAAACCTTATTTATGATATCAAATATTTTAGACTGAAGCATTCATATAAAAGTGAAAGCTGGCAATGGGTTTGCCGATCTAACAGTTGGAGTGAAAGCATTCGAATAAGTACAGACGAGAAAATCATTACAAAAAAAGTAATGTGTGCACAAGAGATGAAGCAAAAACGGAAGTGCAAAAACAAAATGATTTCGCTTAGATGTCAGGATGATTTAATAGGCATTCCGACGATATATAAAGAAGCCTTTGCCTAAGTTTTAGACAGATTGTTTAAATCTTATTACTATTGCATCGAATTTTGATCGATGTACAGAAATCGTCATCGGTCATTGCTAGATATCATAGAGATTTCATTTGTCAGGAAAAATATTCTGAATTCTGAATTATTTATTGCTTGATGACTGTATAAAAATATATTTCATGCATTCGAACCTGAATAGTTGAAAAGAAAATGGAGATAACTTTGAAGTCATGTCCATCGCAGTTTGGTTAGCTTTATAGTGTTCACGTAGATGTTGAAAGTTCTGATGATATAACAGGTATAATGTCAGTTGTATATGCGATACTTCCATATAAAAAATTAGGAACATGTGAGAGTTTTTTTCTTTATTGACTAAGAAAATATAGTCATGGGCCCCTATATCATTTAGAGCCGATTTTGAATAATGCCGATTAATTTTGAATAATAAAAATATTAGTGCTATGGAGAACACTTTTCCTTTTTCTGAAGTGAAGGTATGCAACTTCCATTATAACCATTTGGAGGAAGATGCAAAGCATAGGTTTAATAAACCAGTATAAAATTGATCCAGAAGTTAAATCTCATATTCAAATGTGTTTCACATTCCTTTAGAAGCAGTAGACAACGGATGATTACATTACATTTATATATAAAGGAAAGATCTCCGCAAAAAGAACTGTTGTGTTAAACACCATAGACCAAAGAATGTATTAGAAAGCTGGAATAGTAAAACAGAAGCTGGGGGTAAAGTCAGTCCAATATATTTGAATTTATTCTGTGGTTAGAGAAAGACGCAGCATATTAGGATTTTCTCCGTAGCAGAGTGGAACGAAATTCTCTACTCAGAAGAGATTAAAAATATACAGTGACGTAGACAAACGAATAAAAAATGGACAGTTCAGGATTTCAAAAGTAAGAAACTTTGCATTGGAAATTTTTTTAAATATTAAATAATATTATATGATTTTAAAACTAATTAATCAACTTTGATATTAAGCTTTATTGTGAAATTTTAGGAGGTGATTAAAACCACGCATTTAATAAAGCCTTAACTTCTAATATCTCCTCTTGTCTTTCTAAACTAGCCATGCTGTTGTTGGCGAGGATCTTCACTAAAACGTGTCATGATTATTTACAGGCGTAAACTTTAACTAAAATATTCTTATCGTGCTTGTAGTTCCGAACAGTAATGTAAATAAACTTACAGTTTCATCAGTGTTCTAAACTCCTACCTTATACTACATCAATTTTACACTGGCATAGGTGCTGCAGCTTTTGAGATATACGAGTAGTCTCATAGTTTGGCTGTTCTAGCCACAAACTGCCTTACTAAACTGCCACAAACTTCTTCTAAAATGATAACTACTTTTACACCCTTAAAAGTGATTGCAATTTCAAGAGAAGGTAAAAGAAATTAGAAGAGAAATAAAATTAGGATGAAACTACATAATTTAACACAAATCTTTTAATAGGCTAGCTCAATAAACAATTATTGTAAATGCTTTATCAATAGCAAAAGAGATGAAATATCTTATGAATTAAAAAATTAACAAATATTAATGGGGCATTCTATTTAGCAAACATAACTATTTAATTTTCTTTTCTTTAGTATTGAATTTAGATACACAGTGTCCACATTCTCTGGCATCTTTGGATGCACAATTAACTACTCTATATCTTTTACTAAAATGTTTCCTCTTATAATATTAAATATTTTTGTTTTAGGTCGGCTTAAGACATCGCCTCTCTATCGTCATCTGGGACTGAAGGACTTGCTACCCATGAAAACAGTCGATCCGGATTTGGGATGCATTGCTAGACCCAGAAACATGTACTGCTTTGATGCCGGTGAGATTCCTGTTTAAAAGCTGTCATAAATAACACCAGCAATAAATTATTAAAACTATACAGTTTGTTGACATTAGTTTAAGCACAAGATAGATGAAATGGGTTTCAAAATGACAAAGATATTGACGGTTAGTATAAGTGGATTAGGCGAAGAAGACTGAAGACGATTTTTCCTTAGAAGAATCGCTTGTATAAATATACCGTGTAAATGAAACTGTGTTCAGTTAGGGGAAAAAAAAAGAAAGAAAGAAAATCATCTGTTTTCACGCAAATACCTAGCCATTACGTCTTCGTACAGAGTGAATCTTCCTCTTTATCTCGTAGACCATTTTTTATTAAACTAAAGTGAATCGGGATTTTAACCCGCCATAGTAGGCGCTATCTAGTAGTGTTTGCGCTTGGATACCTGAACTTAAATGGAGGTCATAAATGACTAAGCCTTAAATTTCTAGACATTGTGAATTTTTAAAGCTCAAGGAGAAATTAGGTCATGCCAATTTTGGCGTCCTTTACACAGCTGATTTTCAAAATCCTGTGTGTATTATTCCACATTTACCAAGAAACATTTGTTAATTTTAAGAAGTTTCGCTTTGATATTTTTCAGTTATCTTCCAGTAAATATGTGCTGCGTTTCCCAAAGTTGGAGTTGCATAGAATAGAAAAAGGATACAAAGTACAACTTGCAACGGCTATGATTAATGCAACCCTGAGAAAATGCTTGCGTTACGTTTCATGCTCTTGGTGTTCGTACAAAAAAAAAAAAAAAAAAAACCTGTGTCAGTTAAACATTTTTTCATTAGCTTTCTAGGAAACTCCTGAAAATTCCTGTTTTGTATTTTGTTTTTTGATTCTAGGCGACAATCGAGTCAATGAACAACTCCAGTTGGCTGTAATGCATATCATAATGATGAGAGAACATAACAGGTTGGCTGATGGACTCAGTAAGGTCAATCCTCACTGGGATGACGAGACATTATACCAAGAAGCTAGACACATCTTTTCCGCCCAGGTGCAGCACATCACCTACAATGAATTTTTGCCGATGGTATTAGGACACCAAACTGTGAAGAAGTACGATCTGATACCTCTGGCCAAAGTAAGGATCCTTCCTCTGTTGGTTTAAATGTTGATGGTTAACTGTAGTTCTATTTAGCAGAATGGGCTTATTCATATACCTGATATCATATGGAAATATGAAATATAAAGAGAAAGTGAGAAGAGTAAAAACAATTTTTAATGGTTTTTATTAATTTCTTGTGCAAAGTTAATAAAGTATTGTAATAGTGAAAACTTTTGAGTAATATCGGTTTTGATCATTCCTGAATCCTTGCTATAACATTTAGTTCTGTATTTCCTTTTTTATTGCATTCTGCAATGCCAAATATATATATACGAGGGCTATCTAGATTATATATTATATATATGAGTAAATTAATAAGCCTAAAACTTGCCCTAAAGCTGCTAAGTAATAAACCAATAATTTATTATTAGAAAAAGTTTTTCATGTTACCTGCAAGGAACAGAAATTCAATTAAAACCATGAATTATTATAAGAAAAATTTTTAGTCAACCCATCGCTTTACCTGGCTAAAATTCCTTACCCGCTCTTTATTTTCACAATCGTTGGTCGTAGTCGTATACTTCCAATTACAGAAGTATTTTAAATTAACAATAAGATTCATGATTTGCCAATGTAAAATAAAAAGAAAAAAAAAAAATTCGGACAAATAACAAAATCTAAGTTTTAAAGCAGTCTTTTGTTTTCTGTAGCTATATTTGCAAAAGTTTTATACTCGTTATGAAAAAATAAAATTATAAGAAGTTTGACTCCCGCACGACAAAAATTGACTTTGATATTCATTTTTAAAATTTACAATTTTGACGTCATTTTGAACTCTGCTTGAGGAATCGGTTAATTAAGTTAGAATAATTCAGGAAATAAGTGTAAATTAAGTGCAGCAAAAAATATATGTAACTTAGTAGGCCGTACAAGGAAGTCGTGTGGTGTCCACATCAGACTTTTTTTTTTTTTTTTTTCATTTTTAATGATTTATTTCTTAGACATCGTCAAGTGATTTCAAGTGTTGGTAAAATACTGGTAGACGGGAAAATATTAACGGTACTATTTCCATAAAAATCTTTCATCAATTCATTAATATAATTTTATAAAATAAATTAAATTTACCAAAAGAAATTTGATTAATAATAGAAATAAATAACATTAAAGCTTAAAGAGTTAAACGAAGTGTTTTTCAATTATATATTTGGAATATAATCATTATTTATATCTTGATAAACGCATTAAGAATGCACATTTATTACATTATCTGAAGTTCGTTTACACTTTTATAGCATATTAAAATGAAAATTTTTAAGTTATAATTTTTCTTCCAATTTTTACCTTCTTTACCTTATTCCACACAATTTAATAAATTAAAAGGAAAAGGTGGACATGTAGATGGCAATTTAAATGTACAATGAGGTGAGGAGAATGCAAGAACAAAAATCGAAAAATCTCTTCTCACAGGTCTTTTTCATTAGACTTCAATGATATTATTGATGCTAAATAACATTCTCCAAAACGTTTAGGTTTCATTTATCAAACTAAATGGTGTTAATCAACTTTAGAGATGTTCCGTTCTTTCCTTTATGCCTTTTGTTTCCTGAACTTATCCTAATTTATGTATTATTTTGCTATAACGTATTGGTTTGTTAAGAATTCTTTAACTTTTTATCTGAAACATCGAACATAGGATGCTTTATAAAGTTTTGGTATCTTGCATTATGTCGATTTTATATTAAAAAGCAAAATATTAGGTTACAGATACAGCACTTAAAAGACAACCTATAACTTAGTATTTTTATTTTTGTAGCTAAACGCTAGGTCGGTTTCTTTCAATTTAAACTGGAATTTGATCCTTCTGTAGTCAATTATGTATTTTATTACATTATTTGAGCCATAATGAATACTCTTAGATAATCATCATCTTATGAAAAAAGATAGATTTATAGCTAAACCTCTAAGATTTCCCTTCTTCGGATTTACAATCAGCAACTCTACAAAACGCGTGAGCGTATTCCATTTTAAAGTCAAAATGATCAGGCATAGATAAGAACAACATAGATAAATGATTAAGGTTATACAAAATCTGAACTATATTTCATATTCTTCAATAACGTGAAAACCGATGCTTCAGTGATGTGAGATGTCTTATATTACTGTTTCAATTTATATTGTAAATAAATTCCTATCCAGATTGTGGATTTTATGAGTGCCAGTTATGTAATGGCATACTCTATAAAGCATAAGTCTTGGCTTCAAAATTGTCTTAGATATTAATGCAAATAATAGAAAAATAAAATTTTTTACTGAGATAAATAGGAATTTAAGTAAAAGTGTAAAAAATAAGAAATTTTGCGTAAGTGCTGAAATGTTTCAATACATACATAAACAAACACACACACAACAATGAAAAAAGGAAAAAGAAAAATGAAAAAAGGGGGAAAAAACTTTGGAAATGTAATAGAAACAATGCTATTAAAAATTATAATTAAATTTTAATTATAATAATTAATAAATACTCATGTTCATTTTCAAAGCTTAATTGTAATGTTGCAACAGGAGTTCAATAACTAAATTATGCTGCTCTTCTGAGATTTTGAAATGAAATTTGTTTGAAAATAAAAATTGCGTCCTCAAACTACTTTTTGGAGACACAGATATGAGGAGATTTATGTCCTTTACAATGTTAGTTGAATGACTGCGGCCACGAATAATAATATTAAAACTATATTGCAGAAGTTTTACATTTTTGTAAAAGAAAGCAGTTTTATCAATAACTTAGTTTACAATTTCTCAAAAGAATTTTGTAACATTATTATAGAGTATAATTACATAACAAAGGCCAATTATCAAATTATTTTCTTTTAGGGTTATTATCAAGGTTACAGCCCCGAAATAAATGCTGGTATTCGAGCTGGTTTCCAAGCTTCAGCCTTCAGATTTGGTCACAGTCTTTTACCAGACGTCACGGAACGGTACAACAAATTCCACGAGAGAATAGGTAACCACAACAAATAATTGGATCCTTATTTATTGAACATTAATTAGTTTTAAAATTTTAATCATTTCAATATGCAACTACTCTTCTTTCTCTTCCTTATTTATCCGATGTCCATAAAAAAGTCTTCATGATCAAATTTTAATCATTTAAATAGAAAATACCTTTAAATGATAAAAGTAAGCCGAAACTCCATTGTAATCAGGGTTAAATAAACGCATACTTTGTGTATTCAACTGCTGGTTAAATTGAGACATTGTTTTTATTGATATAAAATAATAAAATTTTGAATATAGTGCATATTATTAAATTTTATATTTGCTATTTGTAACAAATTTATATTGTAAATGTCAAAAACAATCGTCTGCTTTGTTGCAAACGGATATTCTATCTGTATATGGTGCACTATGCACTGTGTTGATTGTGCAGTTTAATGTTACGAAGACATCTGCAGTATTTATTTTATTATGATTTAAACATTTGTCTTATTCAAACAATATATCTCCTATATTATTTCCTATTTATTTTAATTAATATTTAAAACTAACCACTTGAAGATTCTTTCGATGTTGGAGTCGAACTTTGGCTTTTCAAATTCAATTTAAACTCACTTTATTTTCATTTTCTTTAAAGAGGCCATCCGACTTTCTCGACAGCTGTTGCAACCCTACGATCTTTACAAGCCTGGAATCGTGGACACTTTCATCTTGGGGTTGATCAATCAAGAAGCATACAGGATGGATCCCGCTATCACAACTGAGGTTGAATAACCTTTTTCTCAAAAAAAGAAAAAAAAAGTATTCTTTTTTCTTGAGTGTCTGTCCATTAGCAAGCACACGATGAAACGAAAGAAATGTTTATTTTTATATTCACAGGATACTACATTCTATATTTTTTTTTGCTTTTTATTTTCTTCAGATAAGTTGATGTTACTATATTTGACCCATTACTACAACACTGCGTGTAAACAATGCGCATTCGTTATTCTAAATGGTTATGACCTTCTTTCTAATAATAGTTTTCACAGCGAGAGATGATTTTGATACAAGGCAGAACTAATTTTCCATTCTGAAAAATCGAATTTTAAAGTTAAATGCATAAAGTGTGAGCGTTATTTAAAAAAATTAAAATGCTTTCGTATTAGCTGATAATACGTTTCAAATTTTACCGCAGTTGCCTGCGAATACATAATTATACAATAGCGACTGCGTAATGACCCTGTATACTACGATAAACGTCGAAAGCCACTGCATGAGTTTATTAAATGTACGAAGTATTAACATGAACTTTTACAGATTGTCGTTTCGTTTACGCCTTTTTTTAAATACCAAGGTAAATTGAAAAGCATGAATATGAGAGCAGTAAAAAAATATTATCATCTAAATTAAATTAAAAAATCTGAAACTTTCAGATTTTATGTTACGCCCAAAGAGGCGTTTTTTAATGTTTTGTGTGTTATCTTTATTTATTAAATATCATGCTCTTTGCACTTAAACCATTGAATTCAGTTTAGCAGCAATATCACAAACTAATTTTAAAATTTTAAAAGAGCATTTCTTTAGAATTTTTTTTATACGCAGTCTTGCGCACTGGAGATAAAAATGCTTTTTTTTTTTTTTTTTTTTTTTTCCCCGTACAGTGTTGCCATTGCTGCATTTGATTTGCTAATAAAAAACTCGTTAAAGTTTTACAAAATAGAAAACAGAATCATAAAACAAATTTCAAATTCCAAATTTGGGCTTCCAAATCCCATATTCGAGTGAAGGACAACGTTATTCAAAATTTGATGTTTCTAGGTACCCTTGCTTATCCACAGTGTGAGAAACATACATATACTCATATAGATTCTTAATTATTTAATTTCTTTAAATATAATGCAGGGTTCTAATATATGGTGGCAACAATTTGAAAAAACCTTCAGTGAAGTGGGAAGTACTAGCCGTTGGAATAGAGAAACTCGTTTTATTGTGGATGACGCAAAATGCCTAAAACGAAATTAGCTCTTCTGGGCAAATTGCCCTTCGGGCTAATAATTTTTCACCTTACACTCTTACATTAAATAATGTAAATGTAATTTAATAAATGCAGAACATTTTAGTTCCTACAGTACCGTTTGAGTAGTATATGGTCGAACGTTTAAGGTGTTAATAGCATAAGCTCAAAATTCATATACAGTATCTAGATCTTTCCGGAGGATTACAACAGGAACAACCTCGAAAGAATTATTCCCTCCTATGTTGAAATTCGGTCGTTATAAATAATCTTTCAGTGATAATATATCTATATTCTCAGATTTGCACTGTTATGGTTGTTCATTATTGCTGCAAATGACAGACCTGAACTTTTTTTCCCTAAATACAAAAGACTGAAACTTACGAATGCATCTTCAGATGTTCTTGCGAACAGTTCCTAGTAGCAATTAAAATTATATTTTGCTAAAAATTTATTTGTACTAAATTTGTTTCTGATAATTATTGAAAGGTGGAGGATCTGTATCTGTTTAATATGTTGAAAAAAAGAGCCTCTTGAGTTTTGGTAATGCAGATACTTTACATTTAATTAAACACGTTATTTTAAGCACATCGCGAAAGTTCTGTGTAATCTATTGCAAGGTAAGGTGCCGTGCCTTTCAATATGCAGCTTATTATGTATGCTTCGAGAATTTAAGGAATGTTTTTAAATTAAATATAAATTATAAACTTTTGCTTTTGATAAAGCATAAGTAAAAAAAATATTGCAATATGGGAAAACCGTATTAAAATCATTAAAATCAGTGTTATACAACAGATCTTTTCTAGTCTTTAGAGAAGTATTTAGCTTGATTTTTATTACTGTATTCTGCTCAATTATAACTAAGCATTTAAGAATCTGTATTAAAATTACGACTCCTTTTGCTAGGAACATAAGAATTAAAAAAAAAATTAAGAAATCAAGAGTGCAAATTTTCACTATGATCGTGGCCACGGAACCCAGACAGATAGCTCTTTGAATTATATTCATGTCATTATTTATAATGCCTAAAGCTTAGCTTTAGGCAGAAATTTAATGAATAAAAATGTTTTAAGTATCTCGGGCGTTTTAAACAGGATTTTTAAAATGTGATCACCTCTGAATGCAAATAGCACTTTTAAGAACGTAATTAAGTAGCGTTATGGAAAATTACCGATAATCCTATTTCCTAACACGGCCATCTCCACCAGAGAAGCCATAAATTGCTTAGAAGCGTATATGAGCTACTTTAACTGCATACAGAGGAGGGTACCTATACTAGCTTTAAAAGCGTAGATTGTTAAATAAAATGTGTAAAAAAATCACCCAAATGTGTATCATCACCCAATTTTAATGTATTTTAGGGCACAAAACAGATTTTTTGTTAATATGCAGCATTTATATCTGAGAAAATGAATTCTAATTTCATTTCAAGGTACAAAGTTCAAGATACAAAGATGCCATTAACAGTATGCCTGTTATAAAGAAAAATACTTTTTGTTTCTACTGTTACACTCAGAACATCTCAAATACGACACAATAGTATATTCGTTTATAGCTCAGCAAAGCAACGTTTATAGCTTATGTTTTGCATAAATTTTAGTCAAGGCACTATCGATTTCCTGGGCAAACAGACACAGGTCTCTCTTCATCAGAAGCAAAGAAATCTGGGAGGAAGGGAAAGGCCACAGTCGTATATATACCTAATAGGAGTAACGCAAACGAAATGGTAGCACCATTTGCCACCAAAAATAATAAAGAAGATTTTAAAATGAAATTCACAGAATTTTAAAAGCGCTAGGAAGGACTAGACTGGGATTAAATAATAACGAACTAAATTGGACTGGGATTAAATAATTAACTAAGCAAGACAAATCTTTGAGAATGTCAAGAAATCTTGTGAAAAGCTTCAAGGAAATCCAATTCACCAACGGTAGTAGCTTTTTGAATAATTTTTGCAGACCCCGAGATCAAGATTACGATTAAATTTCCAACTTTACCTATCGAAATCTTGTTAATTTCACCTTGCCGGGCATAAGATTTCTCAATTCCTTGATACGAAATTTTAACGCTCTTTTAGTTTTGCCGATATATCTCAAACTACGCTGATAAGATATGCTATAAATTCCCCCAGAATGAAAGTCACAATTGGAATCTTTATGAATCGGACCATATGATTGCATTGATAGGCTATATAATTACTTAAAAATTGATTCTCCAGAAGTGCAGTTGTGAATTGGTTCAACAGTGAACTGGATTTTTTTCAAGCTTTTAACGTTCAAGAAGATTTATCTTGTTTAGTTCATGACGTTAATTCCAATCCACTCCTTCTTAATGTTTTTAAAATGCTATTAACTTAACTTTTCAATTTTCATTAATAAGTCTGCCGACAGATGACACTACCTTTTCGTTCGCTTGGCTTGTTTCTCTTTTAGCTTGTAATATTAATCTTTTCAAAGTATGCTACACGACAAATACTCCCACTTTCAAAATCTCCAGTGTTATTGACATTGCTGGAAGTAACACGAGAAAGCCTGTTATAGTGTCTGTTATAGACTGGCCGTCTCCTCTTCGTTTTGAATAGTTTTTATTGTTAATGTCGGCTTTTAGTATAACGTTACTTTCGTGAAACAACCTTCATATAAGAGAACTGTGTCAAATGTTGAGAAATCTGACAAATAAAGTAGTTAACCTAATAACAATCTTAACGTATAGTAATAAATAAACCCAATATGTTGTTGCATTCTTTGGGTTCGTGGATTTGGGGTGATTGATGACAACTATTGATGAAGAATCAAAACTCAATTGATTCGCCAGTATTACACAGGAATGTTCTAAAGACGCGTTTACAATCGTCGAAAAACTACTATAAACACACTGAAACAACACGGCCATCCCGCTATAACGATTAAGAGAGCTTCACGGCAAAGCACTAAAGTACAGCTGCCGACTCGGTTCAGTTGCTCTTAAGCTAATCTCTGAACTCAAAACCCTACTACTGAACTCAGCTAATCAAGATACTCGGCGTACATGCAGAGTATATATAGCTTTTGACCTGCCTTCGAGAACATTCTCGGGAAAACTGGTAAGAATTCATTCTATAGTGTTCTCGCTCCGTCTGTGGCATATCTCCAATTTTACAGAGGTTCGAATCCTGCGAACGGGCTGGCTGCATGGGTGTTTTCGTGGTTTTCCTCATATCTAACGTGTATACGAGCCAGTTTCCCTTAAAGAATCCTCCACGAAGGCATTCCTCCCTTAAGGCAGATAGCTCTCGAGTGCTTTACCGTAATCTAATAAACCAAACCAACCAATTTTATAGCCAGATGTCGCCAAATGGGCTATTTCGCACCAAATCTGGTAACCCTGCCTCTTTGCTTCTTTCTGGTAACCCTAACTCCGCTTTTTCAACACTTTCTTTTAAACAGGTTTTTAAGAAGGTGTTGGCTTTTCCCACTTTTCGGAGAGGCTATCTTCAAAGAATATGTTCTTTGACATAGACGTTCTTTGGCTATCTTACCCGCAGCTCGGCATTTCTCAACAATCTATCCCGGCTCTTAATGCAGCGCTGCTTGTTAAACTAGTCTGATTTTTTTTTTTTTTTTTTTTTTTTTTTTTTTTGATACGCGGACAATCCGCTAAGCTGCTAAGCAACTCATGGACAACTGGCAACTTAATATAAAATTATCCTTATTTTTTACTTTGTAGAAATCATACATTTACAGAGTTTACTCAAATATTGCTAAACATTCCTATTTACTAGTTAGTCACTAACCACTCTCTGTAGGTAATTAACTGCGGGTTATTTTGTCATTGCATATGCTGTTCAAAACAGCATTTACGTGGAAGCAATATTATATTAGATAATAAATACCGTTATTATCTGATTTAAAATACCATTTTTATCTTTATTTATTATCAGATAATAAATACCATTATTCACATTCTTATTCTATAAAATTTACCTTTTTGTCATTCAAAATTTATTATTTTCAGGTTACTAATCATCTATTCGAGAAACCCGGAGATAGCTTCGGTATGGATCTTGCTGCTGTAAACGTCCAGCGAGCTCGAGAACATGGCATTCCCGGCTACAACAGATATAGAGAATATTGTGGACTGCCCAAAGTCAGAGACTTCCATGATCTGGCAGGTATCATTCCTAATGATACCATCCACAAATATGCTAAATTGTACAAGTAAGTATATGTGGTCTTTCCCCAACTTCAGAAGTTTCTATAGACGAAGGAATTGCTCGAGTAATTTATGTCATCATTATACGGAAAGTAGAATACGTTAGCCTTCGATTGAATACTGATAGTAGCAAAATTCATATTTATGAACTAAATTTGCTTGCTTATGTAATGAGTTAACCTGGAAATAAGTCTAGAGCAGACTAATAATTTAACTTTTAATATAGCTTAAATTTCTTCCTTCGTATTATTTAAATCGAATATCACATTTGTACTATTATTGTATTATTGTGGATCTGCAGAAGATGCATATATATATATACAATATTCGCATATATAAATGCGCGAATATTGTATAACCTATACCACTAAATGCATTTTACGGCTGTAGAGGCCCACCAGCGGCCGAGCGGTTAAGTCGCTGAACACTGGTAATTCGGTCTGATGTTCGAATCCCGCGAACGGGCTGGCTGCATGGGCGTTTTCGTGGTTTTCCCCATGTGTAACGTGTATACGAGCCAGTTTCCCTTAGAAAGTCCTCCACGAAGGCATCCCTCCTCTTAGGCAGATAGCCCTAGTGTGCTTTGCCATAATTAAATACACCAAACACACACCACCATTTTACGGCTGGAGAATTTTTCACGCTTTCTGAGCAGTTGATTTACTTTTATTGAATATTTATAAATTCTTATGAATTTTCTGTCTTCTATTGGCTTTAAATTCAATAAAATATGACTTAATTTTCTTTTTTTATTCTTTTCTTTGTTCACTTGCGATTCTGTGCCACGAAATATAACGGCAGTAGATAAACAGGTAGGTAATATAACGGCAGTATAAAAAAGAACAGTCATAAGATAATGTGTTGGAATTAAAGGTTATAACGTTCTTAAAACTAATTATTTTATTACATTTCTAAGCACATAAAATTTGCATGAAACTTTAAAATATATCACTCAGGATAATTTTCCTATTTAAAATCTTTAATATATGTGAATACTCCCCCCTCCAAAAAAAATATCCTATGCATTCGGTTATCTATTTGTATAATGATTATGCATTCGTATAAACTTTTCTAGAAACTGCATTAGGTATTTATTGCTTTTGTAATACTATCACTAATTTCAAGTTATTCTATAACGACATTAAAAAAAACCTTCTAAATTATATTTGATTTAATTTAAATGGCGTCAATTCTGCATTGCAGATCGGTGGACGACATCGATATGTGGAGCATAGGAGTGGCTGAATATCCTCTACCAGGAGCCATAGTGGGGCCAACTTTTGCATGTTTGATCGGAGAACAGTTCGCAAACATCAGGAGAGGAGACAGGTTCTGGTATGAGAACCATGGATGGCCTTCTACTTTCTCACCAGGTAAGCATAGCAATACACTAAAAATGTCCAGTTTCTGTCTACTGCCGTTTATTGTTAGTAAACGTGAAATAAAGGATACGTAGTTGCTTCGGAAAGAATGCTTTGAAAACGTTTCAAGATCTTTATCACATAGAGAGGTATATGAACAATAAAATAAAAGAGTATCACGAAGATTAGTCTTATTGTTCAGTCATTAGACGGAGAGCAGCTCAAAGTAATTGGAGAACTATCCTGCTAGCTGTGCAAAATGAAAATAAACAACGTGCAGTTTTTTTTATGGGACCAAAACGCCGAGAATCACTTTTTAATACAGTAGGTGACTGCTTTGTTTTCTTGCTCAAGAAAGGTTGATGATTTCATTTACTGTCCATTGCAGATGTGTGCTGTCCTTTCTTGCCCCAAACAAATTATATCATATCTTCCTAACCAGTAGTCACATGTTCCTTTTCTTACCCAAGGCAAATGTAAGTGTAATGTTCTCTTGTAAGTAAGTTCTTTTATAATGTAAGTGGTTTGCAAATTTGTTGTTCTTTTGCTCTTACTCAAAGCAAGTCTTGCTAAGGAGATATTTTGTAGTCCTCTTTCCGACAACCCATTAGTGACCGAGTAGATAAGACTACAGAAACATCGGTAATTCAGTAAGGGTTTTGTTCCCAGGAAATGGACTGGCTGCAGAGTATTTCCATGGTTTATGTCATTTGTAACTTAAATAAGAGCTGGTTTCGCTAGCAAAAACCTCAACGAAGGCACTCTTCTCTTACACAGATAAATTGCATGTACTTTGCCTTAAGCAACTGATCAAGCTGTGTTTCAGTAGACGAAAACTGAAAACGAACTGGTCCTTTTTTTACAAATGATAAACAGCTATTTCATAAACGCATATCAGGAATAATTTATTAAATTGGCAGTTCCAACTCTAAAGGAACAAAAGAAAAAATATAGCTTAAAATATAGCAGTATGTAGTGTCTTGGGCAGAAAGAACCTCCAGTGTAACTTTTACAATGTAAGTTCACTTCTTCTAGAATCTAAGTTCTCAAGCTAAGCTTTAAATGAAATATAACTGCACTATTAGAATACTAAAGTGATAAAAGAATGCTGTAATATAATAAGCTTTTCCCTCAAATTAAATCTTGAAGAATCTGATTTTCTATATCTTCTTGTAGTCTTATGGAAAAGGAACTGAAAAGAAAGGGGCTTTTTCAATGAAAGCGTAAGCAATAATTCATCTGCTTTTTCCTTTAAACATTTAGTAATTTTTAAAAATTCTTGAACAATAAATTTCACGTTAATTTTAGCCTAGCTTTTAGTACTTTATGTAATCACATTCGAAAACTCAAAAAAAAAAGTCATTTACAATTGTGTAAACGGAAAATTATAAACATGCATGTCTAATATTTTTCCCCTTGCTTCCTAAGATATAGTCCAGTTACAAAATTAAAAAAAAAAAAAAAAAAAAGAAAAGAAAAAAAAGAAAAACATATTCTCATTTAAAAGCACCGAAATGTTTCGTCGCAAGCTATTTCTCGGTGTCGCCATCTAGTAGCAATCGTACTAAATAAATAGGTTTGCGTTTCTTTTGTTTGTGTTGTGCCACTATGCAGCATAACTGATTTTCAGTTCTTTACTTTCTCTTTCTAAAACACAGCCATAAATGATCAAATAGTGACTCGGATTGCAATAAACATTTGTTATCGGAGTATGAGGTAACTGTTTAAGTTTATTATTCTGTTATTTTATCTATTATCAGATATTAAATCTAGTAATAAGCGGAATTTGAAATAGCGTATTCATCCACTGATCTGCCATTTTAGCAAACTTTTCTATTGAAAATAGAGTTACAATTGGTAGATAAAATTTATAAGTTTTTTGGAATAGGGCAGGAGCATTTCTTTTGCTTACTTTTATCCAATTAATTTAAAACAAAATTAAATCCTTATAGCCGTTTTCTATGTGAAAAATAGATCAATCTGATGAGCATTTGATTGATCTCTGACTCGTACATTTTATTGCTGAACCAAATATTCTCTTGATTGATTTTTTATGATTTTTTTTTTCCAAAACCAAGTAACTCCGTCTAACTTGGTTCAGAATTTGAACCTTACTTGTTAATAAAAATGATTTATGAATCAGAATTAAGCAAAAGTTATACAATATAATTAAATAAAACTGAAAGCTAAAGATTTTACAATAAACCAGGAATGAACAAACAGAAACTGTCGAGATATTCTGCAAAAAGTATATCGTCTGGCGCGTATGCATCGGATCTTGTTTTAGAAGTGGTATGCGGTTCTCTGACATGCAGCATTGTATATTTTGAGTCATTTAGCCTAAAATACCACCATCAATATCCTTATGATCGGTAATATTCCCTAAATCTTCAACAGTACAACATCTACAAAGTATCCTTGAGTAACCCAATAAAAAGAGAACAGCGATCCATTTGTTAGTGACAGCACTGTGGAAGCTTCAAATTATGGCAGTTGGGTTGGCCGTTGACCATGATGGGTTGACAAGCATTGCAGCATTACAAACATTGTGATTTTAACCTGTAGACGGTGATACTGTTGTCCATTCGCAGTTCAGTATGAAAATAACGCAGAGCTTCCCGCGGATAAACGGCGGGAGGATTATAGCTGTTCAAGCTAGCAATGGAAGTTAGCAGGCAGAAATGAATGCTTTAACTGTACATTGGCTTTAAAAAATATATATATATATATATATAAAGACAAAACATAGATGCAAAACCCTAAAATAGATGAAAACTTGGAACTTGAAATATTATACTGCAAATGATGAGAAATTAATCTTACGACTAAAACTTCCTCTACTCTCAATCTCGAGAGATCGTTTTTAGGAAAAATCTGTGTGCAAATCGCTTCCAAACTTCGGACCAAAGACCAAGGCGTTTTGGTTACGGAGTGCCTTTGTGAATTAATTGCAACTACCTCCACATCATGGTTAAGAAAAATGAATAGTTACGCGTAAATCACTCGCGAAAGAAATAAAGAGAGAGAACCGTTGCGGGTTGAAGAAAGAAGCTCGATAAGAAGTAAACTCGGAGCTTCCAAACCAAACTTCGGAGTTCTGAATCTCCCCTTTCTTTGAAGGACAGAGCAGAGAATGTTCACCAACGGTCTACTATAAATTTCAGAAAGCCGAGTAGTAGCATAGCCGAGTAGTAGACATCTGTTTACGTTGTGTTTTTGTTCAAACTGAATGCACACTACAATCTTTTTTGTTTACTTTTCGGTGTGCTTGAACGAGATGAACTGTTTCACATAATAGTCAAAACGTGTTTCTGGTTTTGTTTAATGGTTATTTTTATATAGTTGAGGATTTTTAAACCATGTTTTCATAAAACATAAATCTTCACGTCTGAATTACTTGGACTTATACAAGGCTTGTAATCCTTGGTAATCAATTAAAATTTGCGACTCCAATATTCAGAAACTTTATTATTAAACCCTTCGTTACAGAATCTCCTGGGTAGGGAATCCGAGTTAAAATTAAATAGAAAAATTATACAATCATTTAAAAGCTTTAAACTCTGTCTACTCTGTCTTATTGTTCGAAAGAACTGTTTAGCTTTTGGCATTTTTATTTTTATCCCCATGGTGTAATATTTTTTTTTAAATAAAAATGCTCCATGGGCATTTTTATTTTTATCCCCATGGTGTAATATGAAATACGCGCCTTAGAAAGGTGTAATATGAAATACGCGCCTTTTCCTTAGAAAGGCCTGCACGAAAGTAGTTCTCTCCTCATGTAGATAGTTTTAGAATGTTTTGCTATACTCCCCATGGTGTAATATGAAATACGTGCCTTAGAAAGGTGTAATATGAAATACGCGCCTTTTCCTTAGAAAGGCCTGCACGAAAGCAGTTCTCTCCTCATGTAGATAGTTTTAGAATGTTTTGCTATACTCCAAAATTAAAATTTTAGATCTTTTAATTTAGTTTCGTAATTTTTGCCTCATTTAAAAAGTTGACTCAATAACAAACGTTTTAGAGAAATAGGAGCTTTACGTAATATTGTATGGACTGTGAAGGAAAAGAGCGTCAAAAGTGGCAATTCGGCTAAATTCGCAAAATATTAATCATTGCTTACTAGCTCGATTCAGAAATGTACTGTATTTTCAGAATGCGTCGTTTCCTATAATGGAACGGTTCTCTCTTTATCTCTTTTTAAGAAATCATACTGAGTCGTGAGAGAATTTATTTTAAAAACTCATCTATGAAAATTTCCTATTAAGAATATACTAATTAGCTATTCTTCGGCTATAAATCTCAAACTTTCATTCATTCCCGCTTTAATACTTAAAGTTTCTTGTAACGGTTGTTTATTATTAAATAGCTAACGCTTCCACAATTTTTAAAAAATTTTTTCCTCTTTCTTTTCCAGATCAGCTGCAGGAAATTAGGAAGGTACGGCTGGCGCGAATCCTTTGCGATAACGCGGACGAAATGCTTACCGTCCAATACAGTGCCATGGCGATGGCCGACCCTCACACGTAAGTATTACCCTCGAATCAAATAAATATAAATGTTTCTTAACGCTAGCTGATAATTTTTTCAGCCCCCAAAGTTTGTATGAAATGGTTCACTCAGTCTGCAAAATATATATGACAAAAAGTAAATAAAATGTTTTATTTGTGAAGAAATAAGAAATATATCGGATACAATTTATAAATTTAAGAAGTCAGACTGCATTTATGAAGTAAGTTTGAGTTCCCCTTTTAAAAACTGCTTTCCCAAGGACATATCTGTTCAAATAATGTTCACAAAATGGGTTGCAAAAAACCGGTGTTGATAGACAAAGAGGACATGAAGCAGTTTCGCCTTCAGATTCGATTGCCAGAAGCTCTAATCTAAAGACTCAAAAGCCTCAGTTTAAATACACGCAAAACTATTTTGCGTTCTGATGAGGAATACGTAGAGGAGAATTATATTAAAGACTTAAATCACAATAATGGTTAATTAACATAAAATGTCGTACAAAATGATATGTGAAAGAACATCAAGAGAAAGTATTCAGCTAATCAGTAGCTATTCTTGAAAATAGAACTAAAAATGATACGTAATTCAAAATCTACTGAGCTCATCAATGATCAGCACTAGAGTCTCAAGAAGAAATTAGAAGTTCAGACGCTTAGATGAAGAAACTCTAGCTCTCACTGAATAGCTACAGTTGATAAAATCAATATATTTAGAGCTCAGATTCTTGTAAATAGTTTTAAGCCCTTTCGATAGTAATTAATCTTTTATTCTACTTTGCTGTAAGTCAAACTGAATGCACACTACAATCTTTTTTGTTTACTTTTCGGTGTGCTTGAACGAGATGAACTGTTTCACATAATAGTCAAAACGTGTTTCTGGCTTTGTTTAATGGTTATTTTTATATAGTTGAGGATTTTTAAACCATGTTTTCATAAAACATAAATTTTCATCTTTGAATTACTTGGACTTATACAAGGCTTGTAATCCTTGGTAATCAATTAAAATTTGCGACTCCAATATTCAGAAATTTTATTATTAAACCCTTCGTTACAGAATCTCCTGGGTAGGGAATCAGAGTTAAAAATAAATGGAAAAATTATACAATCATTTAAAAGCTTTAAACTCTGTCTCTAGTGACAGCTAGTGACTCTAGTGCTGTCTTATTGTTCGAAAGAACTATTTAGCTTTTCTCTTGTTTATTTTAAAAATTTGGCAATTATTCTAAAGATTTATTCACGAAAAATATTCATCTCCCAAATTTCAAGAACTGCTAGTCATGTCACAATTTATAGACTAAGTCCATTTCTACTTTTGAAGATGTCCGAATGCAGCATAAAACAAAGCAGTAAAATTGTGTTAAGATTTCATTGATGATTCTCTTTGTATTTTTTATGACAACCTTTATATCTTTTTCCAGGAATCCAAGGCTAGACTGTGGCACAGATGACATCCCTCGATTGGACTTGAGTAAATGGCGGGACACGAATTACAAAAAGTAAATGACCCGAAAAGAGTGCCTGTTGTACATTTGCACATATTTAAGCCTTCCGAGCGTCGAGATTCGTATTAAGCAGAGCTCGTGAAAGTCACATCAGCAGTGGTTTTAGTTTAGGAAGCAATTTCGTGTTAAATTTGTGTTTTCCGAATTAAAAGAAACTTTACTTATCAAAATTTACAATACATATAAATTCCAACAAAAGGTACACGCAGATGAAACTGTTAGGAAAAACGTAACTGTAAAATTTTCTACGATTCAACTACTTCGGAATTATGATATTCAATCTAAATCTCACATTATTTATATTCAGGATCCTTCGAATTAATAAGACTTAGCACGCTTTTATTCTCACTTAGATACTTTTTGGTACTTATATTACTTTCTTTTGATGCAATCTCCACATAGACTTAATCCTCTTCTTCCTAGCAAAGAATTATTTTTTAAAAAAATTTTAATTGGATAAAAAAAAAGACTGTTCGAGTTTTTAGCCATCATTTTTTTGCACTACGCTACTTTTAAATTCATTTATGTGCTGAATAAAGTGATGTTAGTCCAGATCTTAAGGAAAACAGGAAATATTTAATCTGATAACATAGCAAAGTAAATAAGTATTTTTCAATAAGATTTACAAAAATTAATGATTTGCAACAATTAGTTCTCAATGCTTTGAAAAGCAGCAACATTGAGTAAAATGTTTATAATTTAGATAATTAAGTTTACGCTTGGACTGTCTTAATTTTTGCACTAAATTCTTCATCAAAAATGCTATGAAAAATTACAAAATATTTTGCAATCGGGATATCTCTGTGTTCCATAATGTTAATAAATAAAGATATATGTGTGCTATACGATCAAGTTTGCAATATGGTCAAACGACTAGTATGCAATCAAAAGTTTTTTAATGTTTCCTTCTTTTTTAACTTGGCTAAAGATGCATATTATTGATGTTCGTTTTATCAAAATCTACAGACAAATAAAAATGATTTTATAATTTAATTTATTGCTACTTTTTGGCATATATGTGGTTAACAAATCTTAAAAGACAGTTAGACATACAATTCGCAAACAGAATTGCATCTGTGTGAAAGAAATAATGACATATGTTTACGAGCCTTTGAAGCAGCTATCTTGGAGAAAAACCACTGCTGTTGGCAAGTAACCAGCTTAAGCACAGCTTAATACAATCGGCGCTCCCGTGTGTTTGTACTCAAATGTTTGTAAATAGAAATGTGTTTTAGCTATTTATAAGAATTAAAAATAGTCGCTTGCCCTTTGAGCGTCAGTTAGAAAATATGCCTTTAAAGAACTGATTTCTGCAGATCCTGCAATTGCCATAATTATAGAACTGCAATCTGCAGCTGTTCGTAAATCGGTGTTAAACTCGAAGCAGATTGTGTCATGGCTGCCTGCTTCTGGTTTTGGAAGTGTTCAACGCTAAGGGCATTTCAGAAATTTTGATAGCAGAAATTTCTCGTGTTTCTGACATCAAAATATTCTTCAGCGAGAACGCTATTCAGAAAGGATAAGATCATCCCATGAAGATTGAAATTCACTCGTTGCTACATTCTTCTCTGAGTGGAGCTGTTTCAGGTGTAAAATGAAATTATATTTTTACGAAGCTTAATTAAAGAGCAAGCTAGTCTGTATTTAAGCTACTAGCGTAACCTGGAGCACTTCTGGTGTTTCGGCAAGGTATTAAAATTACACAAATTAAGTTTTTTTGTAATGTGTCTTTAAGTTATTCTTTATTTTAACTGAATCTGTATATAGGCAATCAGTTTCTTTTTCTTCTACAGGGGATAGCCTAATTCATATATGAGAGAAAATTTTCTCGTTAAAGAACACGTACATTTTTCCAGCATTGTTTAAAACAGTTTTAAGACATTCAGCAGGCAAACGTTTTTCCATTTCAAGTGTATTTGTCTTTCATAAATATATTTGTCACATTATGCCCGAAATTTTTCTCGAAGAGTAGCTCTGCAAACTTACCAATTCTTTAAGTATTACTTAAAAGATAAAGTGTGTGAATACGCGCAGGTAAAATATTTTCCTGTTTTGAAGTTGACGTCGTGATAATGTCTTCGTTATGCAAGGGAAAATGTAACTTTACTTAAATGAATCAACTTCATAACGGTTGTATTGATATTGGGGTTACTTGTGATACTCGGTTTCTTCTACATACAAAAATTAAAATACATACAAATTTTTTAACACTTGCAATGGTACTTTTGCAATGGTACTTTACACTAAAATATTTTATAACTACTACTTTAATTTAAAATTGTCCATTCAGCACTTTTACTTCATATCTGAGAGACTTAGAAGGCTACAAACAGACGGAGAAGTGAATTTCAAAATTACATGGGATGTGTATAAAGAAAACTGTAAAAGAGATTTAATTTTTTATTATTGGAAGAAAAGTTATTTATTTTTGAGTTTCGCCTCTTGTTATAATGAAAGTTGTACATTTGAAATGAGATATTATAAAAGGTGGACTGTATAAGGGATGATGAGAAAAGCTATGTGTATGTGTTTCAATAAAGTTTTGTTATTTCTCTGTTTTTTTTTTTTTTTTTTTTTTTTGTCTTTCTTTAAACCAAATGGACAGCAAGAGAAATAAACAAAACATAAAAACTTAAGACCTTCTTCAAAAGAAAGCAGATCTAATGCATGTTAAGGAAATATGTTCTCCAGAAGCAAGAATTACACTAACTACACAGTTTACTTTTAATTAAACGAATGCCATAATTACGTAAAATTGTATCTTTATCAAAGTTAGTGGGCAACTTTTTTCGCGGATTGCAAATGAAGTAGGAAGTGTGTTTTAAAAACATTAATCGTGGTTTTATAATTTAAACTATTTGAGTTGTACTTATACTGTGAACAGAAAAGTACTGAATGCAAACACGAGTAAAGGGAAAAGTTTCATGAATCACAAATAAAAGAGAAAATATAATGAGCTTGAATTTAGGATTGGAATATTTTTTAATTCTTTTTCCGTTTTACTACGCATTGTTTTGCAACTGATTATTGTAAAAGTTTTTGGTTCCCATACTTCTTTTCTTAAAAGTTTGCGTCCCATCTTCTGACTTTGGCATTAGAAACGTCTACAGTAGGGTACTGCTGATTTAGGGGCCATTATCTTGAGCAGATTATCAAAAGATTTATCAAAAAACGTGGCTTATTAAGTGTTTCTCCATATAATTCATTTAATGCTTCTATTTCAAAAGTTAAAAGAACATTTCAAGAGCAACATATTTCCATATGGTTTAGAAAACAGTCATTTCTTAGAGCATTGCCATTCTACATATGGTAAGGTTTTTAATTTATCTATCAACATGAAATTGTAATTTTTTAACAATTTGGGCGATTTAAAAGCAAAAACGTCCTTGCTTTGTAATTTATATCTAAAGCCATGTATCATGTACAACGGTAAAGAATAACCATTTGGATTAACTCTTTTGTGCATAATCCTTTTGCATTTGAGGGGCTGCGTACTGTATTGTACTGGCATCCTGCATATAATTACTTGTATATAATTCCTAAATGTTACAGTATTTTTTGCTCTCTTTCATTTTTATTCTGATTAACACTGGTTCTAACTCTCTGCCATGCCTTCTCTAGGGCGCAGTTATAAAATTAGAATTGTACAAGAATGCTAAAAATACATTCTGTTGCATACATTTGCATTAAAAATACATTCTTTTCTAACCACCCTCAACTGTAAATATTATTTGCTTGGAAAAGCGCATTAAGTATTTAGAAACATTAAATTAAGAGACTATTCAGTTCCGATTAGTTATAACAAATTATCTCTTTAAATAAACAGTTTAACAAATTTTAATTACTTCTAACGTATTACCGGCTACAGAAGAACTACCTAGAGGCTGTTACTATGCACAATAATTTCTTCCATTTTCAAGTTCATTTCCAATTCTTAGATTACATATCTTCTCCAGAAATCTTTTATATTACAATACTGAAGAAAACTTTCTCACCACAAACTTTTAATTGAAATCCAGAACTAGACATTTTAACAGTTTAGTTAAATATTACTAAGTGCTTTGCAATGAATCTGATGATTAATTCGTGTAGTTATTATCAAATATTTTCTGATCAAATTCTCAGACATTTTATAGACTATTATTCCTAGAATATAGATAAAATTTTACTTTGAACTAATAATAATATCTTATCTTATTAATTTTTGGGTTCAAAAATATAAGCCAATAAAAGAGATTAAATTAAAAAAATAGTTTATAATATCATCATTTAAGAAAGAATATTTTGAAATATATACAGCAGTCTCCATTTGATTGCAGTTATTGTGTAGACAAAAGATCGCGATGTATATCTAAATTTACTTTTCCAAAAATATTAAAGTTATAAAGTTAGGTCCACAAACTAAACTTTTTTATGATAAAGCGTACTATTTATATGATGTGTATCTTAAAGCAAAAAGGTATTAATTCCATGAACAACATTTAAAAAAGGTAAAGTTTATTTACAAATAAAAAAATTACATATATGTACAATTTCTTACATTTGCTTCTTTCGGATCCATTCATTAAATCAAGTTCTAAGGCTCAAACAACATTTCAAATCAACTCTAATGAAATTTCTTAGCTCAATATTCAGAATCAGGATTTTTTAACTAATTCGTTTACAATACCGCTCACCTACCAACATCTTGCTAACTATGGCATCAACTACAATGTTTTATAAAGCGGAGCACAGGAAAGGAAGTCTTCATATTTAAATTCAAGTTTCAACTTATGCACTAAATATTATATTTTTAATAAATCGTTTATCTCATTCTTTTTACTTTTCTAATCATAAATTAATTTTTTTCCATAACATTAAAACCATTCTTTTAGAAACTTCAAAAACATTTGAACATTTCACATACCGTAGTTTCGAAAGCTCTGTTCCAAAATATTTTTATTTCTCAAAGAAGGCAGTTAACGAGATTATCAACCAAATCACATACATGAAATAGTAGTTTAAAAACTTTAAGAGAAAACAAATTACGATCTAAACTAATGCTAATGTTTAAATTAATTAAACTAATGCTAAAATTTAGTCAAAGCTAATGAACATGCTAAAGTTAATGAGCTTAAAACAATGAATAATGAAGTAAATTGCATTTGAATTTTCCTTTAAATTTACATATTTCCTGTATATAGTAAATAACAAATTATTAAATTTTGTTAATATAAAAATATTTAATTATTACTAAATGTTATTAAATGGAAGAAAGCTCGCAAATCTATGAATTCTTTCTCGTGGTAGTTTCATATATTATCGTTTCATAAATTGCTTTAAACAACCATTATTAATAATATAAATAATTTTTAAAACAATTATTACTAATTATGCCATGATATACACAATTTTTTTAAATAGTAAATTAATTGAATCAGACTTTCCAGCAAAGCACAGATTTTTCAGCAGTGCTAAAGATATTTTTTAATAATACGGTTGCATAAAATGTTGTAAAAATAAGCAAAAGATAAATGTAAGCATTTTATAGAGTCCATGGTTATCCCAGATGTCAATGTTTCTTCCAGATGTGTCCGTAGAAGTAATTCTGAACTTTTAACTACTATACCCTCTTTAAAAATTTCTTGATTTAAATCCTCCTTCAATAAAAATAGACCAAAGCTGGACAAAAGTTATTATTAAAGTTTTAATAATTTTTATTTATCGAAATTTATTCATAAAATTATTATAGATGAAAATATATAAACTAGACAAAAGTTATGAATTATTAAAGAACGGCCATGTAAGAAAAAAAAAACTCTTATTTTTCGGTTTGCGAAAAATATTTAAAAACATATTTTATCCTCTTTCTGCGTACTTTAAAACAGAATTTTCCACAAAAATCGCTTTTCAAAATCTTGGCCACCTCTTATTAAAATTAAAGCCATGAACTGAAATTCAAGCCTTATTTAGCTAAATACTTATTCATTGAAAAATAGAGAGTCGGTCAAAATTAAAGGCTTGGAATTAATTATTTATCTCGCTGATTTCAGCTTTTGTTATCTTTTTTACACTTTATGAGTTTTGCTACGAGCATAGAATTAATGAATAAATATAGTATCTCAGAAAATGAGATATATCACCATTTTGCCAAGACAGATTCGATTCTATGTTAAAGTTATGTTAAAATTCATTCTATGTTAAATTTATGTTAAAATTCCTTCTATGTTAAAGTTTAGACCGTTTTACATATTTTTAAATAAAAAATATAAACGGAAAGAATACTCTGAAACATTTCCTATAAGCAGGGAGTTGGCGACGACTTGTGGAATACGCTATGAGTGACCGTTCTGTCGATTAAGCCACCATTTTGTTCAAGTACTTCGATAGTGTTGTCAGACGTAGGGCTGATACAATATTTCTTACAACTGTTTCAAAGACATTCACAGATTCCAATCAACTGAATGGTGACACTTGTAGGTGAAAACCGGGCGCTTTAGTCGAAAAGTTGGAACTTGGTTTCATAAGAATTGATCTTTGGTGTTTCTTAACTTTTGACTATTTTCTTTGGAATAATAAATTAAAGACAACACGTTTGAGGACTTATTTCTTGAAACGAAATTCCCCGTAGAGTGGTTCTTCTTCCCAGTACCGTAGATCAATGGAAGGCAAATCTTCACATGCTACTCTGGGGTTGCTGAAATAAATAAATGAGTAAACTATTTTAAATTGCAAGTCATTAAAAAGACAGCATGTTTTATATTTCTGTCCCAGATACTAAAAAAAGCTTTTTTACCGCATTTTTTAGATTATTTAAACACGTAAACAAGATTTAAAAATTTCTGGAAAGTGTCAGGATAGGGTTTTTATGGCTCTAGTGTGCAGGGAAAAAATTTTCTTTTTTTAAAATAACAATTTCCCGATATTACTCTTAATTTTTGATAACTATTTCCTATTTTCAGGAATAGAATGTTAAATAACAAACGCATTTCCATAGCTTAAAGCCATAGCTTAAAGATGCTTTAACTTCATTTGCACTGCTAAATGCAATTTGTAATTGTGGACGATGTAGCTGCACATATTGCTTTGGTCTCCATAAGCTAATGCCGTCGGATAGCCAAATTTAAATATTACAAGAGTCTTGTGTTTGACATAACCTTTAAGCAAACATTTTAAACAGAGGAATATATAAAAGCTCTAAGTACAAATAATTACAGTACAGATGATATGTAAAGAACTTTAACAATACGTCATCGCTATTTACACATCTGTAACATCTTCAGCACACTGAATATTTATTAAAAATCTCCAATTACACTATTAATATACTTGGTTACTCAAGTTCAGGAATCGAGTTGCTACGATCTATCTTTCAATCTCTGTTATCTGACTAAAACTTAGAGATTAGAATGTTTATTATATATATATTATTATGTATATTTTAATTTGATGAAGCACATATAGTGACAACTTATAATATTCTTGCCCGTTCCCAGAGTTTCTTTCCTCCTTTTCTTCTAAGCTCGTTTCTGCTATTAAATTCCTTGTAGCGCCCCCAACCCCAAGCCATCACGAAATGTCAATACTGTATAATCCCTAACAGTTGTCTTCACCTGCTTAGAACATTATGCTTTCGATGTATCTTAGCCTAAATGCAATGTTACTTACTGTTCAGGGTGTGGCATCATCATTGGCCACATCTGGATAGTGGGAATATCATCTGCGTTCTCACAGATAATTTTCGATTGCATTGCTTTTCGGATCTCTCTAAGTTGTGCTGCAAGAAAAAAAAAATATTTAACAAATACAATTTTATTTCGTTTGGAACTCAAATATAATTATGCTACTAAAATGTTGTCAAAATACGCAATCTGTGAATGTGCTACTCGAATTTTTACATACAACATACAAATCTACAGATTTATTACATACAGATTTACATACAAATCTACACATTTATTCTGATCCTGATGAAACCTGGCACATTTGACCTTCAAAACAAGAAAAAAACATCCCACGGGATCAGCACTATTTATATACAGATATTTTACGTTATTTCAATGAATTTTTTATTAAAAATTTAGCCATTTAATAGATTTGTTATGCCACTCTGCAAAGCGGAAGATATTTACGTTTCAAATTCAATCAGAAAACTCGGAAATATAAAAGAAATGTGTTTCCCTAGGGAAAAGACAGTATATTTATCTGTCTTTAGAATTTATAAGGTATTTCTCCCATTTCCCTAGCGTGCCTCCGTGGTGTAACGGTAGCACGCTGGGCCGGTATTCCAAAGGTCCGCGGTTCGATTCCCGGCGAAGGCAGTTGCATGTTTATCATCTTTTCTGCTTCCAATTAACCTAATGACTCTACAAATTTAATAAACAAACTCAAGAATTTTTTAAAAAAATTCTTCCATTGCCCAAAGTTAAAATATTTTTAAGTTTGTCATTGTTCAGCAAATATGAACGATGACATACTTTCAAATATATTCATTCTGTAATAAATTAACAAACTAAGCTATTTAAAATCAATAAATACAGATTCATATCAATTATTATTAATTTATTAATTACTGGCTGGTGAACCGTGAGATAACACTTGTTAGATTCATTAAAATCATATGTTTATATATATATATATATATATATAATATAAAAGGAAGACTGCCAGTTTTTTATTCGTATGTGTGTAATGAATTACACACATGTATAAATCTGCAGTTTTGATACCGATATTGATGAAATTCTGCACATTTGATCTTTAAAACAAGAAGGTCACTGTCTACATAATATTTCGAAATCCACTTCTCGGAGTCCACACTCAGGGTGCTTAGATTAGAACTATGCATTTGCGACACCCATCTTGCGTATGCATCACAACTCTTAGATTCACGTCCCCGCTGTTGCGTTCCTGCTTTCAGTCTTACGAAAATCGCTAAATGGCTTTGTATTCATTTGTACTTTAGAACAGCTTTAAAAAGCAAAATTTAAGAGCACGTTGTGTAAGTTACAACTGTTTTAACAAGCACATATTCACTTAAAATAAATTATGGACTCCAAAAGTAAGTGTGAAAGGAATTTTTCTTTTTTATATAAAACATGAAATTCATTAAGGTGCGAAGAATAATTACGTATATGCATATATATCGTTTTAATTAATACACGTTTTTATATTAGTTTATAATAAAGAATGGACATAAAAATGTATTTTTTTACGTTTCTAAACAGCATGAAAGCTCCTGAAGTGTAATAGAGTCTTAAAATAGATACTAATGAATTCTAATTCTCTATGTAACTAATACTGATTTAATAAATACATAATATCCAATCAAAGAAATGCACAAAAATAAAAGTAAATAGAAGATATTCTTCTAAGCAACATGAAATATCGCACGAAATGAGGAGAGACTTAAACCGACACCACATCCTATAAATTCCTATTACAAATAATAATCCAATACTCTGTCAACAAATACACATCAAAAGTACGATTAAATCGTATTATCGTATTATCTTACAAGTACAATAAATGATGGGTCAAAAAACTAGGTGAAACTGGGTATTCTTCTTTGTTTCTAAACAGTAGTGAAAACACAAGATTCGAAAATAGTCTCACAATTGATCCCGTAAACCCTATTAACACTTTTCACATCTATGACTCTTTACGTATAAATCACTTGCAATTCATGACACTATGTCCTTTTTACACCCGTGATTTAAAATTCAAACTGTGTAATATCTTCTTTTTTGCCAAAATTTCAGTTTCCTTGTTAGTTTGTTTCCAGTTATCCGATACAGCATCGATTCTCATTATTTCAGCTTTGATTTATTATTTTCTTTCCAACTGTTTAGTCTTTTATTCGAAATTTCCTAGTTTATAAATGTTAAACCTTGAGGCAAAAGATTTTTGATTAATTATGGCAAAAGAATCTTCCCGTACAAGTATTCTCTCATATGATAAATATTTAGAAAGAGCTCGCTGGAAACCTTTTAGTGGAATTTGAATATTTTTTCCCCACCTCATTCTAGCATAATGTGGATTAGACCATGTCTTATTTTAGTTAACGGAGCATGGAGAAAATTGAGAGATATTATCATGCAGAGCATTGAAGGAATGATTGGGTTGTGCTTGACCGAGCTTTAAACTGCATAAAATACATTTTCGCTGAACTTTAAAAAGGAAAAAGGCTTACATTCATAAAAGTTTTAGTATATTAAGAAAATATTAAAGATCTTTCTGCAAATATATTCCTATTAATTAAGTATACTAGGTTTGTCATTAAATCCGAAGCATAAAAATTCGTTTGACTGTGTCACTGCATCATATAGAATATTATCGCCATGCCACTAATACTACGTAAATTGGTATTTTAAATGAAGGAAAAAATGCTATATTTATTTCAATATAGTTACAATCTCTGATGGTGATCACCTCTCATGGTGGCTACATCTGAAAATGAACAATATTCTGATAATCTAAATAAATATTAATGGTGATGTGTATAATATTATTTTCTAAGATTACCGTTTTCTAACTCAACTGAGACAATCGGATATGTATTTAAATGTTTCCAAAATGTCTAATTTCTGTACAAAATTAAAATATTTTTCAAATGAGTAAACCTAGAAAGGTTTAAATTTGCAATTCTTATTATATCTGCAAAAAAATATTTTACGGAAAATAGTTGTTAAGTCATTTCCGAATTATAAATTGTATTCCTAGGACGAGGCATTATCTGCCAGGAACACAGCTGTCTTTAAACTTTTGGTAACATTCTTATACTATATTATAGCTCTTACTATTTTTTTCATTGCCTGGCAACGTACACTAAATCAATATTCAAGTAGAAAAGTAACTTTAGCTATCATTAATGCTGTTAAAATAATCATTAATTATAATTAATAAAAGTGTCGCTTTTTTATCTCGAAACTATCAAATCAGTTAAACTTTGATATCAACCTTTTGCAATAATTATTGTGGAAACACTTCTAGATAGAATATGTAAAGAAATTAAGAAAATTTGCTATACAGTTATGTTTTAAAAAACAGAGTATTAATAGCAATTTGCATGAATTTTCAAACAATAAATTAAAGTTTTAATCGATAATGAGGTCGTTGAATTAGTTCGACAGATTTAGAGACTGACACAAACGTGAAACAGTGAAAGAGAGCTTTACGTTTACCAGTATATACGAAATGTTACTGCCTTTGCTTTTAAAGAAGCAGCAGAAGCTCTTGTGGAGAAAACAGATGAAGAAATTTAAGTAGCTCCCTTAGGTGAAGCTTTAAATTATGTACCCAAGTTTAAATAAAATTAAGTAATAATCTTTCTGACAATGCAATGGCTGATTTATTTTATGAAATACAAACTTATTGAAAACGGAAGTTATTGACAAAAGGCAAAATCAAACAAGTAGACGTCAATGAATGAATGTAACAGCTAAGTGTTTTTGCAGTTGCTAAATAAAATTATGATATAAAGGTTACTCACAGTTGTATAAAATATTGAAACATTTTCAACAAATAAACTATGCAAACGTAACCAAATGTTAATACACTGAAAAGCCACTGAATTACGGATAGACATGGCTATGCAAATTTCATATCGCTGCGCGGCATCTGTGTTCACGTGAGGAAGCTGTGGTAAATGCAAATACAGCTAGTACTGTGGTTTTTGTTAATCAGTCGTTTCAATTGCCAGTATGGGTAAAACTTCTAATTTAGACAGCTTCAATCTCGGACAGATAGTAGACACTCCATGCATGGGCCATTCAAATTCCAAAATCCTCAGCGGGCTAGGATGTTCAAGGTCAATAGTGTAAAGAGTATACCGAGAATACACAAAAGAATTAGCCATCGGGCAAACTGTAAAGGACAATTAACCTAGAACAAGCGTGGTGTGAGACGGCTCAGCCGTATTGTACATAATCAACGAAGCCAAACATTAGCTGAAATTACCACCCAGCTGAATCAGGGCGACAGTCGTATGGTCAACAAAAGGATCGTGCAACACTCGCTTCCCCATATAGGCTCGGAAACCGCAGACTCACGAGAGTACCTTTGCTGAACGCATGCCATCGAGCTGCCCTTCTTGTCTGAGCAAGAGAATACAGAGAATAGACTCTAGTGGACTTGAAATGAGTAGCAAGGAGTGATGCGTCTCGATTCCGATTAATTTCTATGGGAGGCTGAGAATATGGCGTCAGACTCCTGAAGCCATGAACCTTGTAGGGCAGATTGGAACTGTACAATGCTATGGTGGCGTAATTATGGTTTGGGATGTTTTCTCTTGGCATTGTTTGGGATCTTTGGTACTTGTGCCAACCTCCTTCAATGTGAATCGGTACGTAGAGTTGCTGGGCGATCATCTTCATCCATTTATGTTGGTCCCGACATTCAGACGGAAATGGAATATCCCAGCAAGATAACTGCATCTCTCACAGGACCCGGTTGGCTTCTGCCCGGTTGTATGAGCGTTCTTCTAACTTCTTTGTCATAAATTGGCTACTTAAAAGCCCTGACTTAAATTCTACTGAGCATCTTTCAGACGTTTTGAAGAAAGGTTTGAAACCTCATCACATAACACTAGCGAATCTTCCTAAATTATAGACAGCTCTATCCGATGTTTTTTATTTTATTTTATTTTATTGAAAAGTTTAAAATCCTTGTGCACCCCATAGTATTACACAAGGCTTACAGATATAAGTAAAAAAAAAAAACAAATACAACAACACAACACAAAATAAAATAAACTTACAAATTCGCAGACGACACGTA